TTATTTATTTTAAACTTTTAACCTTTAAGTGTTTAAAGTCAACATGAACTGGAAGCTGCGATGCAGTTCCTAGAGAAATGGAATTTTAAATGAGAAAACAGTGGGTGTGGCTTGTTTTTTACTGCTGCAAGCTGATTGGATGTAGTAAAGTAGGCATGTCATTCACAAACATTATTTATTATAAATCAGAGTTGTTGTTTTTTTTGTTTTTTTTTAGAACGTTTAACAAGAATACAAAAACCTACAGAAAAGGTACAAGTCCTATAACAAAAAAGTTAGACAAGGAAACAAAACAAAAAGAGAAACAAAAAGATTATGCCAGGGGAATATAAATTACAAAAATCACTTTAAATCTACCTTTAAAGCAAGGTCACAGTGATGTTTAAAAGGTCACGTACAATACAGTCTGCTGGGTATTATAAAAAAGAGACAATATAAGATTCACAGAGGGTTATTGATTTTAAAGCTTTAACATTGCTGGAGGTATAGAGGTTGTATTCAAATAATATTTCAAATCTTTACAAAAAATAAGAAAAAGGGGCTTTACAGACAAACAATTTGCATGTCTATATTTGTGTCTATTGTGCCTATTTCTTATTGAGATTTTTTCGTTTGATTACATTAAATAACAGGTGTCACATTAAAACTGCACACATCTAACTTTATAATAAAAAGCATTTGACTGCTTTCCTAACTTTTTATGCTCAATTAGGACAAAATTTGTTGTGTTTTAAACAAATAACAACAATATTGACATCTTTAGATATTATTCTTATTAATTATGTGTATATGTCTGTTTAAACACGCACCCAAAAGCTAGACTTTCGCTCCGCCTCAAATCGCGTGTACAGAATCCGTTTAGGAAACAGAGTCTATTCATCACTATGGAGTGCATCAGCTGACAGTCACGCACCACTATATGACTGTTTTGAGGATTGCATTGGAGGGGTCATGGCACCTGTAATGAAAAGGAAGGAAAATTGAGGTGTTTTTATATTTATTTCGTGTTTTTTGTGCCTAAACAAAGCAAAAGCACAGAACAGACTCACATTTAAGAGCAAGGGGCGGCCCCTGGTGGTTCGGCGGTATGGATTGCGTATAGGAAGGATCAGCTCTTTAATATTTTTTTTGCAACCCTTCAGAGAAACACTGAAAATACGGGAAAATACCTTTACAGCATGATAGCGAGAGAGAACTGTAAAATGCGGGAGAATCCTGAGAAAAACGGGAGGGTTGCCCGGACGCATTTCAGTTAGCGCGGTTCATTTGACATGTAAATCCAGCAATTGCGCTCGGCTATGCATGAAGACAATCAATTGAAACGAACTCTGACGTGTATCGATTGTAGTGAGAAAGCAATACAATCCAACGAACTAGGCTATACCACATTGTATTATGAATATGTAATAGACATATTTGGCTTTATGAAGAGAGAATTTTGAGTAAGGCCGGATGTCATTCCTATGGGTAAATGTGCGTTTCATGTTAAATACGAAAGCGAAAACATGCTGAAATATTAACGAGAGCGGTGAAAATTGACTGAACTGCAGTCTTGGTTTATCTGTTTTTTCTCTCTATAATGTATAATGCATAATTCAATTCAACGACTTTATATGAAAAAGTTTTAACTTTGATTTATATAGTGACGATGTCTGTGGGTGTCACCATTCAAAATTAAAGTGCACCGTCTCACTTATGATGTTCTTATTGCTCATCGCCATACATTTAAATAAGAGTGACATGACAGCTGAGCGGGACTCTGAAACCCTGACTAGTGTGAGGAGAGTTTACTTGCACGTGACTTGTTTTAACTATTTTAGTCTGTTAAATGAACAAACTGCACCAAGAACAAAAATAAACATTGTTACAATTTTTATCCGTTTCAGAACACAACATTTGATGTACAGATGTGAAAGCACCCTAAAATACATTGTGTCCAAACCATAATTGATGAAAGTCTTTATATTTTTGCTACATCTTAAATAGCATTGAATCAAACTTTAGAAAACACACTCGTCTTCGTTTCAAGATGTGCTTTTAGCAAGCGCTTTTGCCGGAGCTGCACTGACAAGTCTTATTGAATTCATAAGAGAGAAAGAGACGAAACAACAGCAGTAGTAAAAAAAAAAAAAAAGCCATTCATATTTAGTGCAAACATTATTAATTCTACACTAATGATTTTTGTAAATTGCACAGTATTTAACAGTAATATGAACTGTATTTTATTTTAGGAGAGATATGCACTAAGTTACTGTATTTTAAAGTTGCACTGCAAAATTGCGGTATATATACAGTAAAGATTCACAATACCGTAAATGCATACAGCAAGATAATCGGTGCTGTAAATGTAAATACAGTATTTTAGCTGTAATTGATTTAAAGTAAGTTACTGGTAAACTGCTACCAGTGAGTTACCGTAGATTCTACAGGAAATTGTTAACAGTGTAACTCCAAGACTAATAAGTTTAATTACACTCTATTTTTCAGCCCTCCTTTACACATTTTGTTGACTCTAAGTAGCTCTTTAACTGACTGTCAACTAAATGTAATCAGTATTAATCTCAAATCTCAATGTAACGTGTTAACACGTTGAGCACACACAGTATACTATTTCTCTTATGACCTCTAGTTGACTTGAACTGTTTGAAAGTTATTTATAGTCGTCAATGTTTTGAAATTAAAAATAAAACTTACATTTAAATATCTCAGTGTCAGAGACGCTGACCCGTTATTTTTAAAGTGTAGTTATTGTTTGCGGTGCAGTGTTGGAGCTGCAGTTCACAACAGTGTTTTTATGAGTGTGGAAGTGCATAGACCTGTTATTTTAAGCGGTTTCTCTGAACCTTGTCTGCTCTTGTCCTCCTGTTACCCACACCCTCGCTCATCTTACCCATGACCACTCATCTCGACCAGACTCACAGTGGGTTTCTCAGTAAACAACTCGCTCGCAGCATAAGCTTACATTTTCCACAGGATGTATAGTTATTTTTGGTCATGCTTATAGTTAGTAGTGCTTTAATGCATGCTGATGTTATTTAAGGGATTGCTGTAAACAATAGTTATCTCTGAAAAATAGTCATTTTTACAATTAATTAAATGGTAAATTAACAGAACTGACACAACAAATTAAACATTGCATTTTAAAACACTTGTTCTATGTCATTCTTTGAATACAATACATGCTTAATGTATATGGTATATGTATATAATAATGTAATGGATTGTCTTGAACATTTATAAATATGCTCAACACTAAAACTCCTCACAAGTGATACATTAGGTCTGCCGTGAAGGTTATTTTCTAAATTAGTTATTAGTTTTCATTTGCATGTGTTGTTGACATGATACACCTCGTAGTGCTAAAACCACAATGATGCTTTAGTTTCCAAACCATGGCTACGAAAAACAAACACTGCCACTCAACTTTTGCCATACTGTAGAACTCTACCATCATACTTTTACTTGTCAGAAAAAATGTAGATAAAATGTTTTTTTTTTTTTTTTTTTTTTAAACTTGTGTTTTTTCCACTTACATTAATATATATTCTGTTCATTTTGTCCAAACCTAAATTCATTTAATCATTAAATTTTGCTTTATATTTCAGACTGTTCACACCAGATTTTGAATTTTTCCAGAATTTATTTTTAATTAATATATGTTGACTTGTGGCAATATATAAAATTAAAATTGTTTGATATAAAATTGTGACAGGAAAACCTCTATATTTAAAAAAAAAAAAAAACAATTGTATGACAACTTAAATTCACCTACACTCAAAAAAATATTTTATTTTGCTCGTTCAAACTACTTATTTAAAATGAGCTCAAACAACACAATTCTTGAGATTTCACTGGGACAACTTATCTTTTTATGTTCAATCTACATAAATTTGTAAAAAGTGTTAAGTGTGTTAGTGTGAGGCAGAGTCACAATATTCAATATTCTGTTCAATATTTCTTACAGTATTAGAATAAAAAATATTGTAAATTTCCAATTATTATAACAGGCCTGTAACCAACCTATTTAAAGAAGTGGTTCTTTTTTCTCAAAAAAATTGAGCTTTTTACAGTTATTCGAGGTTCAATTACTGCATTTCAGTGACATTTTAAGCACTAGTCTGTGCTGGATTAGCTTGTCGGATGGTGATCACTACCACACTTTTGATGCAGCAAAAATACTTCCATTTTGTCAAACTGCTTATATTACTAATTTTTGTTTAAAAAAAATGTGTGTTTATTTACAAGTTGTTACAGTTTTATATATAATGCAATGAGATTGGAATTTTAGAAATATGGAAAACATAGTTATTTTTTAAATGCTAATTTATTATAATCCATTATAAAAAACTTGTTAAATGTAAAACTGTAGCCTATAGGCAAATAACAAACTGCCCAGCTCATTTCCTCAGTTAAAGTTTTTCTATTTAAATGATAAGAGCCTTCTTTCATTGTTTATTTATTGATTATACTTCTTAACCTTCTTCTATTGGTTATCTTCACAATTCATAATGGCATACTGTCAAAAATGGGACGAATGAGCTCATATAGGGGCTAAATTCTGAACAGAAGAGGGGTGAGCCTTTCGAAACACCCGAACACCTCTGGCCACAGGCCTGTATAAAAATATTTTGCAGTACACAACGACTGTATGTGTGCTTGACCATTGATTGAAGCTGAATGTATCTATTACACCAAAAATCTTTAGCGCCATCTTTTGGTTCAATGTGTAATTCATCAAATAGTCTTTTAGAAATCAAACGGCGGTTTAATTGGCCTTTATTTACAAATGTATTTGTTATGTGTTTTCAATTTGTCTAGATAAACGCTCTGTGTCCTGCATGTGGTGTACATTCATTTTGTCCATCCCATATACTCGTGATGATTCTCATCACAAATTGCGCCATTTTACAGTACGTCGAGTCTTATCTTGAATTTGACTAAACCTGTCAGGAAATGACTGAGGATGAAAGGGCATGTGTTCACCTTTCCTTCACAGCTAAACATTAACCTACATACTGTACAATTGTTCTTATCCCCACCCTGAGGACATAAATCAGCCAGGGTTGATATAAAGTGTCGCCTCGCCTCACCCTGCTGTAGGAGTTGTTGGGGTTGTTTTCTGGAATTAAACTGCAGTCTCCTCCACCGAGCTCCATGGTCATGTTGTTCAGTCTCCTCTTCACCGTGTGGATAATTCTTCCAGCACGGGTTTTTGTCTTTAACCTGGACACACAGAACGTGATGAGGAAGCGAGGAGAAGCAGACAGTTTGTTTGGCTTTTCTATGGCCATGCATCATCAGCTCAAACCTTCAGACCAGCGCGTGTGAGAAAACGGTTTTCAATTACGTTATGTGTGACAATATTATATTATATTATATTATATTATATTATATTATATTATATTATATTATATTATATTATATTATATAAAAACAGCCCTAACATTTTATAATTACCATGTAATGTCAGTAACAGTATATCACATGCTGATTTGCATTTGTTTACTATTATATAGGCCTACTATTAAATTATATAGTGTCCAAATTTAATAAAATATTAATGTAAATTAGAAATTGTTTTATTTTTAAAAGGGGTTCTGCAAAAGTGACATTAATCAGATGCTTTTAAAATATGTGGAGGAAATCTGTCTTTTTCTGTCTATTTATCTATAGTGTTATGCAGGGTGCGAATTACAGTATACAGTGACAATCAGGGGGTCAACTTTATTATATTTTTAACTATTATTTTGTGTAATACAAGCTTCAGTGAATCAAATGAGATGACATCTATTTTGTTAATGCAACACAATTACTTTGTCAGTGTTTTGTGGGATAGTTTGACTATTCAGACCTAAAATATCCTGTGATAAGCCATTGCAGAGGGTACTGCAGGCATCTAATTTTATTTTACTTTTAGACTATACACCTATTTTACAAGAAAAGTGTTTTGTAAAAACTTACTATGTCTATCGGCTTATATTAATTGCGTTTACAATGGTATAATCCATTGTAGAAGTGGTCAAATATATCTTTATTATCTATTATTTAATTAGTAATAATAGTATTTAAGATGCAAACCAGAGCAAACTATTTCTCACTATTTAGAAGACTAACCCCACATACATGTTGTTCTGACATCCTTCAATCATTAATTGGGGGTGGGGGGGTTAATTCCCCCTAAACCCCCCTGTAATTCACACCCTGGTGTTATGCTCAAGTTTAGGAACATCTTGCAGAAGATGTGAAAATGCAATTTTAGCTAAATAAGAGAGATTATAGAAAAAATGCTGTTATTTTTTTATTTAGTACTGTCCCTGTGAAGTATTTTACGTAAAAAAATGTTTACATATAAGTACGATCGCCTAACTGCAAGAAGGTCACTGGTTCAAGCCTCACCTGGGTAAGTTGGCTTTTCTGTGTATGGTTTTTCCCTATGTTCGTTTGGCTTTTCTCCGGGTTCTCCAGTTTACCCCACAAGTCCAAAGACATGTGCTAGTATAGGTGAATTGGGTGAGCTAAGTTGTCCATAGTGTATGGGTGTGATTGTGAATGAGTGTGTGTGGATGTTTCCCAGTGATGGGTTGAAGCTGGAAGGTCATCCGTTGTGTAAAACATATGCTGGATAAGTTAACGGTTCATTCAGCTGTGGCAACCCCAGATTAACAAAGGGACTAAGCCAAAAAGAAAATGAATGAATGTTTACATATAATCCACAAAACAAAACAATGGTGAAATTATTGGATGGAAAAAGGGTCAGTGTGTGCACATTCTAAAAAATCTTTAAGAAATTGCTCGAGCAAATTAAACCAAAGTCCCTTAAAGGCAAGTCATTTCACTCGGCGGCCATCGTTGAAGCATCTCTAGGGCAGTATGCTCGAGCATTCTGTTTAAATGGGGAAACATCATTTTCTCCAAAACTGCTTGCCAAGCTTAAGATTACATTACATATTATGAATCACCAATAAAAAAACAATAAAATTAAGCAACAATTGTCCCTTTAGTTTTATAAACAGAGAAAAAAATGTTTTAATATTTAATAAATTGTCTTTTGAGGGCAGTTTGCCGATTTTATTATAATTATTATTATTACTTTTTCATATTTGAACCCTTTCCAGCAGTGACTGTATGATTCTGAGATGCATCTTTTCACACTGAAAAAAAATAAGATTTAAAATCACACTGATGCTTTGTAAATTACACTTGATTTGTTTTTTGTTTTTTTCTGAAGACTGGCAAGTATCTTTTTTGCCTCTGAAAGGCACTAAATGGGGAAAACATGATATCTCAACACATTTAGACATCTTCGTTTTGTCCAAAAGTGTCACTATGTAAACATCTTTTCTGTAAAATATCTTATTCAGGACAGTACTAAATAAAAAATAACATGCATTATCCTTGTTCTCCTATTCTTATTCAATGTTTTATATTCAGTTTCTGCTAGGTTTTCCCAAACTTTCGTCCAACACTGTATCTGACAACATGATGGTTACGTTTTCAGACTGCTGATTGGAGCTCCTCGTGCTAAAGCATTGCCAGTTCAAAACGCCAATATATCTGGTGGTCTGTACAGGTGTAAATTCACAACTCAACCTGATGACTGTGAACGCATCCCCGTTGATATAAAAGGTTAGTTGGGGTTTCACTTTATTTATTTGAATGACTTTTGCTCATTTATTTGCTTGTCAATTGTATTATTGATTAAAGTAACACGCTTAAGCATCTTGACAGACATATTTTAATTATTCTGTATTGGCAGCTCGATCTAAAGATCATCCAGGAGTGGACTATAGAGAAAACCAATGGCTAGGTGTTAGTGTTCAAAGTCAGGGACGAGGAGGCAAAGTAGTGGTAAATAATCCTCATATTTTTGTTATGAAGACACTATCTAAAGTTGACACCTCAGAACAATCAATACATGTTTTATTAATAAGCTACTCTGTTGTGTCTAGACCTGTGCACACAGATACCAGGATTGGAGCTTCACTAATCAGCGGTTATTGGGCAGATGCTTTGTCCTGGGACAGGACCTTGTATTGGGAACGGATGGAGCAGACACAAGATCATTTTGTAGGACTCGGGAGACAGATAAACACAACTTTGGGTACTGTCAACAGGGTCTCTCTGTAGCTTTTTCCAAAGACAGCAAATATCTTGTTTATGGAGCTCCAGGAGCATATGACTGGAAAGGTATTGCAAAGCAACAGGAAGGTGGTTCTTTACTGATAAAGTAAACCTTCACATTTGTAAAGTATTCCTTGTAAATTCCAAATACAGCAAAATATGTCATATGAAGTAATTGATAATGACATTTCTCTTTTTCACCCTTTAGGCATTGTGCACATGGAGCCTGTTGAGGACTTCTCTCTGGAGATCTATGAAACAGCAGATGAACACGAACTCAATCCTGTGGACATCAGCAGCTTTTTAGGTGATCAAGGGCAATGTCATATTTGTGTGTGTTTTTGTGTGTGTGTGTATTTTTCCCCCAATTTCTGCTTTTAACCGAAATATTTTTTCAACACATTTCTAAACATAATAGTTTGTCCTTAAGGGGACTAATAATATGGACCTTAAAAGGGCCATGAAACCCCCCTCTTTCGGTTCAAGTCTACCTCAGAATTAATTTTAAAAAAGGATAATGGGCGTGGAGCTCTATGAGCAGAGGTAGGTGTGGCCGGCAGAGCAGGGAAAAAAGAGGGGAGCGAACAACTATTTTCAGTTGGCTCACAAAATGAAACAAAAACTGTGAGAAGACCCATGATTTTACAGTTTACAGAGTTAAAATGCAAAGAAATAAACAGAAAGTAATTTAATGTCCTGCTACATTTGTTATTCATAATTTTATTTACACATAACCACAATTTGTTTTATCATTAGAAAGATAACTGTGTTTATATAAACACTATAAGGACTTCTCTCCTCCTCAATCCCCGGGTCTGACTCTTCATAAACGGCTAAATACTGTGTAGCGGACGCTGTCTCACCCAGTCATTGGGTCTCACAGCTTGGCAGGTCTGCCTTGTCTTCGGAAAGCACATGCTCTCATGAATAATTAAGAAGCAGGGTCTTCTCATATGATAAGAAAATGAATGAGTAATCAATAATAATAAGAAACCGACGTCTCATCACCCCACTAGCAGATTCGCATTATGTCACCGATTTTGATCCTGCTCCAAAATTTATTTTAAACCAGGAAGATGAAATTAGCTGACAAAAGCATCAAAATCAGTTTTCCCCACAATTAAAGCTGACAGGTACAAACATTGTCTTAACTGATGCTCAACACACACAAATCTGTTAAAATCTAAAAAAAAAAGTACTCCAGGGTTTCTTGAACCTTTAAAATGTTTCTTAAAAACTACTGAAATAAAACAAATAAGACTTTCTTCAGAAGAAAAAATATTATAATACTGTCAATATTCCTTGCTCTACATCATTTGGGAAATATTTGAGGAAAAAAAAAAACATTTACACACATATATATCAAATGCCATGCTGTATACGATAGGGTTCGCTAGAAAACAAACCATTCAATGTATTTTTGAAGAAAAAATTAAGACATAATAGTGCATTAAGACTTTTATAACATTATAATTATGACATTTTATAACGTAACAGAAATCGCCCCAAATGTGTAAATGTAGATTTTGTGACTTATTTTATTTTTTATTTTTTTATTTTATTTATTTATTTTTTTAGTCATTCATAATTTCATTATTTTAACTACAGGATATTTGACTTAAAAATATTTTAGTATGTTTTATTATTGTCTATTATCAAAATAGGCTTTAATAAACTTATTTCATTGATTTCTTTATCTTTATTTATTTATTTATTTATTTAAATATTTATTTATTTTTAAGAAAACTGTAATTGCAAATCTGTTAAAACAATAGCTAGATGCTTTTTTTATAAAACCACATTTTATCCAAAATCATTAATTAGGTTAATTAGTTAAGTTAGGGTAATTAGACAAATCAATGTATATCACTGGCTTGTTCTGTAGACAAAAAAAATAATAAAACAAAATCATTCTAGCCGAAATCAAACAAATACTTCCTTTAGAAGAAAGAATTTTATAGTAAAGACTGTGAAAATACTTTGCTCCTTTAAACATCATTTGGGAAATGTTAGAAAATGAAAACATAGGAGGATAATAATAATTTTGACTTCAAGTGTTTGTGTGTGTATGCTGAAAATTGATCGGATTTAATTTTTTTTAAGGTAAGTGATTGCTAAAAATTTATATGGGCTGGAATTAAACAAAAAACTAAATTTTCTAAAATTCAACTTAATTTGTTTATTTAAATTTAGACCATATAAATCGTTTGTAACCAAATGTAAATCCAATCAATAATTTTTTCAATGTATGACGTAACAGTGAATTGATCTATTTATAAACAACTTCATTGCATCCTCTCTAGGCTTTGCTCTTGACACTGGGATGAACCTGATGAAGAAAGGAGAGCTGAATGTGGTAGCAGGCGCTCCACGATCAAACCACAGCGGGGAGGTTTTACTACTGAGACCAGAAGACAGAACAGAAGCCAGAAACTTACAAGTCGAACACATCCTTCGAGGACCGGGTTTAGCCTCCTCCTTTGGTTACGACCTCACCATTCTTGACTTAAACGCAGACGGGTGAGTCTTCATTTAACTAGTTACAGTAATGACTAAACCGGATGAGGCTGTAAAATTTGTCATGAGTAATCAGTACACTCCACTTTTACAACCTACTTTATTATGTGTAAAAAGGAAACCCCAGTTATTATGACTTGTATGTTTTAAAATGATGTACAGTAAAATTAAGTCTCTTATTGAAGTATGTAGTAGAACATACCTGAAAGATTTATTTTATATAAAAATACGTACATTTTGGTCTGTGGGGGATACCATTATTTTATGTGTGCAATGCTTGACATTTAATAGTTTCATTTTGATGAAAAGCAGTTTCACGCTGCTTGTTGCTTTTTTACAGCAACCCAAAATATTTTTACACAACTATTTATTTGTTTTCCTTCGGCTTCATCCCTTATTTATTAGGGGTCAACACAGCGGAATAAGCTGCCAACTATTCCGGCATGTTTTACCCAGTGGATGCCCTTCCAGCTGCAACCCAGTACTGGGAAACACACATACACAATAATTCACACACACACACTCATACACTACAGTCGAAGCATTTCACCTATAGTGTATGACTTTGGACTGTGGGGGAAACCGAAGCACCCAAAGGAAACTCAGTCAAACAAGGGGAGAGCATGCAAACTTTACACAGAAATGCCAACTGGCACAGCCAAGATTCAAATCAGTGGCCTTCTTTCTGTGAAGCGACCGTGCCACTCCTTTACACAACTAGGAAAGTAAAATACTGATACAATTCCACATTGTGTGGCATTTGGTTGTAATTTTCAGTTGAAGAGGAGTAATGCAAACCTTCACTACTGTCGATTTTTCCCTACAAGAATTCTCTTTTTTGCCAGTCTTTTCTCCTATTTACTCAAAACAATGACATTTTCTGTTTGTTCAAACTTCTAATATAAATTAAGCTGAAAAAACCCATTTCTTGAGTTTTTTGGGAGAACAAATTAATTATTTTATGTTCAACCAACCTACATTTGTAGAAACTAATGGGTTAATTTCATTCCTTCATGTTCTGCCAGCATTTTTACAGTGTTCTAATTACAAGAAAAGCAGTGAACTTACATTGCATCTTCTTGTCAAATATTTTAAGACAAATGTTGACAAGCATTGATAGTGAAGAATTATATTGTGTTTTGTTGCCCTTTGACTAAAATTACTACTAAAAGCTACACAGAATCATGAGATTTGTTGTAGTAAAAGCCCCACAAAAATAATGGCTCCCTCTATATTCCAAAATAAATGTAGATTTTTTTTAAATAACATAAATGTTCAGTGGGTTTTCAATGGCTTCTACATACATTTATTAACCCTTTAACAAGAATCATAACTACCTGGTTGCACAAAGGTTATCATTAAAACCAAAAACTCTAAATAAATTAGATTAGATTGGAGTCAGGAACACAATTGAAACTGGTAAAAAAAAAAACAATTCAAGCTCATTGTTGATATAAGCCCAGTGCTACATTTTTGAGAACCAAGAAATGTGTATCCTGGACTACTTTTTCTTGCCATTTTTCTTTTTTACAAATCCATTAGAGACCACCATGTACATTTTTAACCATCTCAAATAAGTTACTGGGGCATGTTTCTCACACGAGCTACCAAGAAAACCAGTATTCCCGAAAAAGCCATCCATATGGAAGTATTCGGTCAGCAGTACTACCCTGCATCATTCGTTTTACACACAAAATGCAGCCATTATGTGCCCCGAGGCACATATTTTTGGTTCTCAGAAATGTATCCCCGGGCACATTTTCCCAATGAACCTACGTTGCAAAAAATTCTTAAAGTTCAAGTTAAAGGATTAATCGAAATAATTGGGTCAGTGTTCCTTTTAACATTGCTTCAGGTGGGATGACATTGTTGTGGGTGCACCCGAGTTCTCCAGTAAAAACATGGATGATGATGTAGGAGGTGCTGTGTACATTTACATCAACCAAGCTGAAGGACAACACTGGAGCCACTTCCAACCAGTGTGTCTGTATGGTAAAAAAGACTCCATGTTTGGACTGGCAGTGGCACATGTTGGGGATCTCAATCAGGATGGATACCAAGGTTGAAGGAGAGGTTATTTTAGTTCAGTGTATTAAATTATGTTTACTGTGCATCTGACTGATGATTTTGTACAGACTTTGCAGCCAGTGCACCAAATGAGGATTCAGGGAGAGGTCGAGTGTATATTTACCATGGTTCAGCTGCAGGATTTCATCACAAACCAACGGTTGGTTAAAGAAGTTGCATATTTATAACTTGTATATAACTTTTTGTTGCATTAGAGCTTTAGGAATGATGTGTTTTACATTTAAACCATGTTGAAGAGATCACTTTTACGAGTTAAATGCATATTAATGACACCAAAAGTCATATTTATGATTGAAAAATGAATTGAAATATGAACATTTTATTTAAAACAATTAGTTTTTAGCTGAATCTAAAAACAAATACCAGTGTTATACAATTATAACAGCACATTCATTAAAAAACTTCCTGATGCATCTTCATTTTTAATTTTAAAAGCTGAAAAATCTTTTTCAATGTTTTTAATTAGAGATTCATAGCCATCTTGCTCTGACCAAAATTACTTGAATGCACTTGCAGTCATAATTAAGATTTGTCAATTCTTAAAAAATAAACTTGCAAGATAAGTTACATTTGTTAAATTGTTATTTCTGTTTATAGATTTTAGATGCTGGAGATCATAGCATCAAATTGTTTGGTTATTCCTTGGCTGGAAACATGGATATGGACGGTAATGGATATCCAGAGCTGGCTGTGGGTTCATTCTCAGATACTGTGCTGATTTACAGGTTGAATGATTTCTACTCTTATAAATGTATATTCATTCATATAAAATATTCTGACACATTCATTATAAATATACAGCTATGGAAAAAATTAGGAGACCATTTGAAAATTCTCAGTTTAATGGATTTATTCGATATGGTTAAGTAAAATGTTAACATTTGTTTTTATTCTGTAATAGTAACAGAATAACATTTAACAGATAACATTTCTTCTAAATTTGAAACAGAAATATTGTAATTTAGAGCTTTTTTAAGTGTTATTCCACCAACTGTAGTTTTCTAATTCTTCTGAAGTTAAAGCATTGTTATTGTGTAAATATCAAATGTAAAATTAATATACAAATTACAACATTTTTATTTTAAATTTAAAAAGAATGCAATTGTTTACAGAATTAAACAAAATATACAGTTGAGATCAGAATTTATTGATTTTTTTATTTTTCCCAAATGATTTTCACAGAATGTCTGATAATATTTTTTCTTCTGGAGAAAGTGTTATTTGTTTTATTTTGGCTAGAAGCAAAGCAGTTTAAAAAAGAAAGAAAAAGAAAACATTTTAAAATCAGAATTATCAGCCCCTTTAAGCTATCTTTTTTTCAATAGTCTACAGAACAAACCATCTTTATACAATAACTTGCCTAATTACCCTAACCTGCCTAGTTAACCTAATTAACCTACTTAAGCCTTTAAATGTCACTTTAAGCTGTATAGAAGTGTCTTGAAAAATATCTAGGAAAATATTCTTTACTGTCATCATGGCAAGGATAAAATAAAACAGTTATTAGAAATGAGTCAATAAAACTGTTATGTTTAGAAATGTGTTGAAAAAAATCTTCTCTCCGATATACAGAAATTGGGGAAAAAACAAACAGGGGGGCTAATAATTCTGACTTCAACTGTATATTTGTTTTACTCACACACATAACTGAATATTGTAAATATATAGCAAATAATTCCATAGCTGTATTTCATGAAATATAAAGTATGATCTATATGTACTAATAAACCAAATTATTTATATGTAAATATAAATTATTATATTAATAATGAATACATTCTTTTTTAAGGACTAAGCCAGTGATAAACATAGAAAAGACTTTAACATTAACACCAAATAAGATTGACTTCAAGGCACAGGACTGCAAGAGAAAACCATGGTGAGATATCACCAGAATATTTCATGTACAAGTTATTAAAATGATTTAGTTTTCATTTGAATGCATTTTGAAAATCTTTCAGCATTATTACAGCTCAATCCTGCTTCACCTACACAACTGAGCCGCAAACATACAATCCCAAACTAAGTAAGAGTCCATTTCTTGGTTGCAAAGCTTAAAAACTAACAAAATAAAATAATAAAACACCCCAGAGCAATCTACAGGAGTCAACATTTGAAGTGGATCATAAAAGTATTTCAAAGGCAAGAATGGGTGTTGTTCAATAGTTGTAGGGCAACTTTGATCAAACGTTTTGATCCACTTCAATGTTGACTACTTTATATCATTCCAGCTGGGTGTGTTTGATTAGTTCTTGGCTAATAGCTTCTTATCAGAGCAATTTCTTAGAACTTTTTCAGCCTTTTTAAATGTATTTTACCTCTCTGCAGGGATTGAGTACAAACTGGAGGCCGATACAGTGCGCAGAGAGAGGGGTCTTCCTTCACGAGTGGTCTTTGTTAATTCGGACGCTGCAAACGGACGCCAGCAACTGAAAGCACAGAGGCAAAAATCATGTGTGCAGACCAAGCTGAGACTGCTGGTACCCTCAGCTCACACTCAGTTGCTGGCTTTTGAAGATTAGCTTAGCCAGAAATTAATATTCATTAATTATTTATTGACCCTGGTGATGTTCTAATGATAAAGTGCCTGTATAATAGGAATACATACTGTGCTCAGCATAAATAAGTACCTCACAAATCTCTCTTTTAAATTCATATTTTCTATAGGATGCTATACAATAATATATTTGTGCATATACATTAGATTAGTCAGTGCCAAAGCAAAGCTGGAACTAATCTAACTAACAAAATGAAGATCGAAGTTCAAAAATTATTAATATGTTGGGCGAACATATTAAATAAAATTTTAATAAACAAAAGAAAACTAAGATATAAATGTATTATCTTTGCATTCCTAAAGATGTTATTATTTTAATGGATATAACTGTTAAATAAAACAGTTATATAAAAAACACCAATAATTATTGGCTATAATCACAGATGAATAAATAAAAAATATTGGAAACACAGCATATACACTCACCAGCCACTTTATTAGGTACACCAGCCCAACTGCTCATAAACGCAAATTTCTAATCAGCCAGTCACATGACAGCAACCTTATGTATTTAAGCATGTAGACATGGTCAAGATGATCTGCTGCAGGAAAAAAGGTGATTTAAGTGACTTTGAAAATGGCATGGTTGTATGTGCCAGATGGGCTGGTCTGAGTATTTTAGAAACTGCTGATCTACTGGGATTTTCACGCACAACCATCTCTAAGGTTTACAGAGAATGGTCCAAAAAATAGAAAATATGCAGTGAGCAGAAATTCTGTGGGCACAAATGCCTTGTTAAAGCCAAATGGCCAAAATGGTTTGCATAACACGTCAAGCCTTGAGGCGGATGGGCTACAGCAGCAGAAATTCACACCGGGTGCCACTCCTGTCAGTTAAGAACAGGAAACTGAGGCTACAATTTGCACAGGATCACCAAAATTGGACAATAATAGATTGGGAAAAACATTGCCTGGTCTTATGAGTCTCAATTTCAGCTGCGACATACAGATGATGCTACAGCCTACCTGAGTATTGTTGCTGACCATGTCCATCCATTTATGACCACAGTGTACACATCTTCTGATGGCTACTTCCAGCAGGATAATGCACCATGTCATAAAGCGTGAATCATCTCAGACTGGTTTCTTGAACATGACAATGAGTTTACTGTACTCAAATGGTCTCCACAGTGACCAGATCTCACTCCAATAGAGCACCTTTGGGGTGTGGTGAAATAAGAGATTTGCATCATGAATGTGCAGCCAACAAATCTGCAGCAACTGCATGATGTTATCATGTCAATATGGACCAATATCTCTGAGGAATATTTCCAGTACCTTGTTAAATCTATCCCATGAAGGACTAAAGCAGTTCTGAAGGCAAACGCAGGTCCAACCCGGTATTAGAAAAGTGTACCTAATAAAGTGGTTGGTTGGTGTATATCAAGCGTTATGAGGTATATGATAGGGTGTGGTAAAAAATAAACCAAAATGTATTAGTCAATGTATTATTAAAAAAAAAAGTCTTCTAGACACAATTGTGCATTTATGAGACTGTTATGACATTTATGAGCCAACATTAAGCTTTTACAAAAATGATGAAAAAGTAAACATTTGGCAACACAGCATACCGCACGCATCAAGTGTGTTGAGGGTGAACAGTATTCGGGTTTGGTGAAAAACAAACCAAAATATAATGTATTATTTAAGAAAAATCATGTGGACTGCATTTTTGAGACTCTATTCAGCACAGCACTTCACTCTGAGCCATCAAGGAAAAGCAAACAAGTCGTGAGATTTCAAGAATAATAGAAACAAAACAAAACACAAAAGCCATGTTCTTTCTTCTCTGAGGAAAATACTGTTCGGTTCATCACAACAGCAAATTATAACCTTCATCGCCCAATCTGACAGCTGCTGTTTTTGTACTACTAGGTGTTGTTGTTTTAATATTGTATTTGTGCAAACACCAAGTTGTGCACATAAAGCTAAGGTTAGGATTTTAGTTAAATAATACATCAAATATTGGTTGTATATTGAATTTTTTTGTTTTTTACCAAACTGTATTATGTACCTCAAAACACACTTAATATACAACATGTTGCATGGAACCATTCTGTAATACTTTTGTGTCATATTTATTTATCTCAAAGAGACAAAATTTTGGTTAATTGATTGACCCTCAGGCAATCCAATTTCTTTTAAGTAAAGCATTAAAGAAACTGTGATCCTTGGTGATTCATAAAATCTTATTATCGCTTTGAGAGGAAAAAAACAGAGATAAAATGATAATTGGTACATTTGAATTTTTGAGTCAATGATCTCATTTATGCTGGTTGTTTTTGTTAGGCTTCATATGGATGAGCACAAGTAGGACATTTGGTAACACTAGTTGAAGAGGTGTTCATAAAAACCTTTATAATCATGACATGAATTTGAATGAAATTTTATGCAGGATTCTAACAGATATTAAGTGTCATTCGCTCAGTTATGATATTTTATATGCAAAGATGTCAACTTGACAAAAGCAAATACATCATAAACTGCTTTTGTCTTTGTCGTGACAACTTGACATTACCAAGACAACAAAACTTCAAATAAATCTGTCATAAACATGATTGTCATGAAGCCATTATAAATATGTCATTAATTTTATAATAGCGTCATTAATATTTTTTTAACCTCAGCTTCAGTGGTATAAGCTGAATCTGTCATTAAAATGTCATTAAATATTATTGAAGCTCTTGTAAAATGATTTGACAGTAATGACAATTTTAATGAGACCTTTTAATGACAAATGCAGTTTGTTCCACTGAAAAAGTGATCAGAAAAATATTCATGACACAATGGCCTCATAACAATCATGTTTATAACAGATTTATGACAATTTAGGCAATGTCAAGCTGTCATGACAAAGATAAAGACTGTTTATGATGTGTTTGTTTATGTCAAGTTGTCATAACAAACAATGTTGTCTTTGCATTTAAAATTACACAACTGAGCAAATGACACTTAACAACAGTTGACATAAGTTTGCATAAAATCTTACCCACATTCATGACATGTCAAGTAAAGTAGACATCACATTTTAAGTAAAGTGTCATCCTTTATAAACCACAAATGAGAACTCATGATGAAAGCTAGTGTGTTTTGTTTTAGGGGGAAATCCAGGACAAGCTGACCAGTATTAGCATCAGCCTGTCTGTTTCTCTACCATCTGACAATCCAAAACAGACCATCAGAAACCTGCCTGATCTGGAGCCAGTTCTCAACACACTGCAGGAAAAAACAAGCAAAGCAGAGGTGATCACATCATCTGCCATATGACCTGCCTTCCTATGCCGCACAATAATCTAGATATACGCCAATATTCATTAATGCAATATATTTTTATAATGAAGTTCTGTAACAACTGTAGCTTTTTCCCACTGTTGATGTTAGTGAATGCATTACTCCCAATTAGTATGTACAATAAACACAAAAATTGCAAATATGTTTTGTAATTATACCAGTTATTTTTGCAGCTTATGGCAATATCATGATACTAGCTTACTGTATATTGTAATAAAAGCTTCAGCAAGTCTTTACACTATCTCCCAGGTCTCGTTTCTGAACTCGGGCTGTGGAAGTGACAACATCTGCCAGAGTAACCTGCAGCTCCAGTACAGCTTCTGCACCAAAGACCAACAGCAGGACCAGTGTGACCCTCTAGCCATGTAAAATCACCGTCTGTGTGCTTTGTGCAGGATTTAGGACTTAATCCAAACACCAAGGCTTAAAAAGCACATGACTGAAATTTGGCAACTGCTAACTGCAAAACATGTACTGACAAATCTGAAGTTTAAAGCCTGACAGTCAATTAAATTCATCAAGTAATAATCATTTTCCACTGTTATTTTATAGGCGTTGACAAAATTAAGAGACCAATTTAAAATAAAAAATTTATTTATCCAGTATTAGGTGTGGGTTTGAGTAAGATCATGTTAATATTTATTTTATTCTAATAAGATCGGAAAACATTTCTTGTCGATTTCAAACAAAAATATTGTAATTTAATGCTTTCTTTTTAAGAAAATAAGAATTAGTCAGATTAACAAATGTTAAAAATTAATAAATATATAATAAATTAAGGTTGTTATGTTTGAAAAGCAGAATTATTTCACAAAATATAGATTTCTTTTATATATCGCACCTTTTAAGCAAAAAAAATTGTAAAACATTTGTTATCAAAAACATTTAAATTAGAAATTTGGAAGAAATGTCATATTACTTTTATGTGATATAATAGTAAAACACTATAAACTGTAAATTCTAACCATTATTTATGTGGTCTCCTTATTCTTCAATATCTGTATATTTGGAACATATTTGCTGTAATATAGACATTCTTTGGCATTACTGAATCTCAGTGTTTTATTTGTGTCTGTATTAAAGGGAAAACGGTGTTCCTGTAATTTCGCCTGGTGATGTGAACATTGCCCTGGAGGTCACAGTCACCAACACAGGAGGAGATGATGCCCATCACACTCAACTCTATGTGATGTTTCCAGAAGTTTTGCATTTAACATCAGTCGTGCCGAAGAAGAATAGCGTGAGTCTCTTATTTAGCTGAATTTATCGTATCTTTGTATCATTCTTGATGATCAATGTTTGTTGCAACAAGTCTGATTGTGTTCTGCTCCTTTTTTTAAGACACATTTGTAATATTACCCACTGCAGGTGTTTAGTAGGACTATCATATTCAGGCCTAGACTTGTGCACTCAAAATTAGCAGTGGATTTGAAGTTAGTCCATTTGTTTAGTATGGAGCTTAAAATATGCCAAAACAATCTAAAATTTGATTTTGTTTATTTGAATTATTAACAATTGTAATTAAGTAAAACTGAATAGTATATGCCTTTAAAAATAGTTTTGAATTTGAACTTCTAAAAAATTGAACATCTGAAATTAAAGACATCTCAATTTTCTAAGTCAGATTTTTGTAGATGTATTTTCAAACTTATTACTAATATAGGTTTACATTCATCCAAGATCAATTATCCATTATCCATTTTTTTTTTGTATATTTATTAATGATAAATGTATGTATGCAACATGGTGGCACAGTGGGTTGCACAATTACCTGGTTCAAGTCGTTGGTTCATCCTCAGCTGGGTCAGTTGGCATTTCTGTGTGGAGTTTGCATGTTCTCGCCGTGTTTTTTTGTGGGTTTCCTCCGGGTGCTCCGGTTTCCCCCACGAGTCCAAAGACATGCGGTATACACTGTTAACCCTTACTGTAGATTATGCAGTAAATAACTGTAAAATAGCCAGTGTTTAGCTGTAATGAAAGAAACAGTATTTTACTGTAAAAGGAGCAGGATTTGTATGAAATTCTTTAGTGCAAATGATACAGTAATTTACTTTACGTACACACTACAGGTACTGTAACAATAAATGGCAAATTACTGTTCAACCATTACTGCCCCATCTACTCTGATGCTTTATGTAGCTAATTATCGAGACGTACATTTTAAAGGCAGAAAACAATGATTTAGGCATCACCAGACACTCCCACAGGCTGTCTTATTCTTAACAAAAAAGTTGGTAACGCTTTCTTTTACAACCCGCAAAGTACCGCGTAAGTACAGTGAAATTACAGTGTACTTTTCTGTACGTACTGTGTAAGTATAATGAACGTATGTGTAGGTATGAGGGAACTAACCGTAATGCTTGGGTAAAAAGGGGGTAACAACCAGATGTTCATCACAAAAATTACCGCGTAAGTACAGTGAAATAACGGTGTACTTTTCTGTACCTATAGTGTAAGTATAAATAACGTTTACGTAAGTATAAGGGAACAAACTGTAATGCTCGGGTAATAAGGGGGTAACAACCAGATATTTAGCATGAAAGGTACCGCTTAAGTACAGTGAAATAACGGTGCACTTTTCTTTAAATTGCAAAAGAACAAACCATAATGTTTGCGTAAAAGGGGAGTAACAATAAGATATACATCACGCAAAGAAGTATATTAAGTTTACGATGTACATTTCTTCAAGTATTGTATACATATAAAGAATTATGCAAGGATGGTGACAACCTATTGCTATCTGCAAATGTACTGTATATGCACCTGCGTGAGTACATTAGTACTCTTATTCAGTGCTTGGGTTTTATATGGGGTGTTTAATGAATAAAAGGTTTACAACCTGTGAAATTATGAACCCTTATTGTATACTGTATGTATTTTAAATCTGCAATTCAATATAAAATATATTTCCATACACTACTTACCTTATGTTTACTCGTCGATCTCACCAAAGCCATCAATGTCTCCATAACTCACTATCAACAAATAACTTTGCATGACATAGGCCTACCGTCAGGGTTCAATGCAGATTAAAACAGGCTCGCATCTTTACTGCTGTTGCACAGGGGGGCTAACTGTTGCATTTCAGTAAATGTATAGCTGATGCTTTATAGAAAAATCTAGTAATTTGGTCTTCAATCAATAAAAACTGCTGCTGTAGTTTACTCTGTTCTTAGTGTTCAAGTATACACTAGTATGTTAAAGTTCAGCTTCTTCCCTCTTTGTTCCCTGTAGTTAAAGGGTAAATACAGTATTTGTTACCTCCTTGTTACCTGTACTTACAGGGTAAATACCACATTTGAGGGTTGTAAATTAAAGTGAAGCTTTGTTCCTCTCTTGTTACCTCCTTGTTACCTGTACTTACAGGGTAAATACCACATTTGAGGGTTGTAAATTAAAGTGAAGCTTTGTTCCTCTCTTGTTACCTCCTTGTTACCTGTACTTACAGGGTAAATACCACATTTGAGGGTTGTAAATTAAAGTGAAGCTTTGTTCCTCTCTTGTTACCTCCTTGTTACCTGTACTTACAGGGTAAATACCACATTTGAGGGTTGTAAATTAAAGTGAAGCTTTGTTCCTCTCTTGTTACCTCCTTGTTACCTGTACTTACAGGGTAAATACCACATTTGAGGGTTGTAAATTAAAGTGAAGCTTTGTTCCTCTCTTGTTACCTCCTTGTTACCTGTACTTACAGGGTAAATACCACATTTGAGGGTTGTAAATTAAAGTGAAGCTT